CCACTTCCCCAACCCATCCCTTTCTAAGGAATACATGATTTTGTTCCTTACCCGGTAGAGATATGCCAGGCCATCTCTGGGTCCCATCCCCTAATCTTTCACTGCATTTTCAATCTTTTTATCCTCACAGGTACACCTACCTTGCAAATTAAACTTTAAAAGCAAACAAAAAATAAATAGATAAATACATACAGACATACATGCAAACATATATAGAAAAAGTACTCCTCAACATTTCTGTGCAATACAGCTTTCATTATTTTTCTTTCTCATCTTCATGGAAAAACTTATTGAAGGGGCAGCCTTTAGTCAGACCTCGCTTTATCATCTCCTTACTTATTCTCATCCTCTCTCAAGACAAGAAAGTCTCCAGTCAGAACTCCTCAGAGACCACTGACGTACTAATTCTTTTGCTGTCTCCATCAACCTTAAAGCATTTATATTCTTTACTATCTATCTATAGTTCTTTTTAGAAATACTCACTCCTTTTTATTCCACTATGTTATACTACACTTGCTTTTCTTTTTTCTTCCATCTATTTCCTAAAAGTAATAATTTCCCAGGAAAAATCTTAAACTGTCACTTCTCCCAAATCCACCCTGTTCCTACTTTAAGTCTGTGGACCTGAAGGACATTGCTCCCTCCTCAGGAATCAGGCGCAGCAAAGATACCCAGAGTTATCTCCATGCTGGAAAGCAAATCTATCCAATACCAAATGCCTATTTCCTTCTGTCAAACCACACATTCAATAGCTCTTGATTCCACACTCAATGTGTGAGGAGATTTTCTTCATTTTCCTCTTTCCTACATTCTTATCTAGACCGTGACCACATTTTATAATTCCTAACTTTTCTCTTTCCCACTGATTATCACTGAGATAAAAAAATACCTCTTAGTTGGAACAAATGAGATAAATATTTTTATGAAAGTATATTGAAAGGAAAAGAAAAAGAAAATTAAAGTTTGATAAGGATGAAATGCCATCCTGATGGGTCAGCTGAATGTCTATCAACAATGTCTATCCTGATTATTTGGCATTTTCTTGTTAAAATTATTATGGCCCATATTTGTCACCCTCCAGTAATCCAAAGAATAAATTTACCTTCACCATTCTAACAAGATTGCAAAATAAATCAAAATTGTAGTTTAACCATGAGTTCCACTGCCAGGAGCTCTGAACACTCAAATGTAAATTGAGTGAGGGGGGGAAATGGAGCGCTAAAATACGGAGGAAACGGTCAGTGGATAAAAGGAACACAGTTGCTTAGAGTCATCTAAAACCTACTTTATGACTTACACATCAACCAGAACTAAAAGGAATATACTAACATACAGGGAAAGAAAATGTAAGACCTTTGGAGCTACAGTAGTCAGGGCACAGGCTGAGTTTGCTGCAGAGACTCCAAAGTACAAGACAGAACTTTTTTACATTAATATTTTTCCTATATAAAATTCCAGAGGTAGGTATTTCATCATTAATATTGTTCTCCATCTCTGTTCCTGTTTGCACCGGCCAGAAGATGAAGAGGACTAAGAAAAGGGGGCAGGTGTTTGAGTGGTTCAGTCTGATCCTAGGGCTGATGGGGAATCCCACTGTCACAGTGACACACACGGATGGGCTGTCACTGAAAAGGAGCTGACATTTTGAGCTCTGACTTCTGATTCCTTTGTCTGTCAAACCACACATTCAATAGCTCTTGATTCCACACTCAATGTGTGGGGAGATTTTCTTCATTTTGAGGAGCTGACATTTTGAGCTCTGACTTCTGATTCCTTTGTCTGTCTCATTTGTTTCAAAACTTGTATTTATTATTTTCTTTAAATACCTATATGGTACATAGAATTTTATTTAAAAACACATTTTTTAATTAGACCATTTTAGGTTTCATATTGTATTTATGTCTGTGCTTATTGGAACCTAAAGTCTTAGCTTCTTTTTTCACTTGTACAAACTAAAAGAATACACAACGGCTTGTGAAAACTATCTTCAGTCAAAATCACCATGTACTATAAAATGAAGTTTTAATAATATTATTTGCTCTCCATTTTTAATGGAGAAATTTGAACATTATTGTAAGCTCTGTTTTCAATTAGTGGTTTGATAATTCTTGCATAGAGTATTCTAGACTACTCATTTTTCCCGTTATACTACTTAATTCAGTTCCCAATTTTGTTCCCTTATTATTGAATCAATGTATTTGAACTCTAATTTCTGCTGAAGCTCAAGGGCAAAATTTCAAATATGTTCAGTTAATAAGTGAATCTTGAGCATATCTTCAACTAATGTATAATACAGAAGACAATGAAAATTACTTTAGTCAAACTTCTTTATAAAATATATTAGATATGTTAAATTAAGTGATCTACTGTTAGGATAATTATTTATATTCAAGTGATGCTGTATATCTGATTAGGGTACTTGTATCTAGAATATATGACAATTATTACAACTCAATTATCAAAAACAACCCAATTTTAAAAAATGAGAAAAGGATCTGAATAGGTTTTTCTTCAAAGATGTATAAATGACCAATAAACACATGAAATAATGCTCAATGTTATTAGGTACCAGTGAAATGCAAATCAGAACCACAATGAAACAAAACTTTGTATTCACTAGAATGGTTATGATCAAAAAGGCAGACAATAACAAGTGTTGCTGAGAATGTAAAGAAATTGGAATCCTGATGAATTGCTAGCGGGAATAAAAATGTTTCAGTCTCTTTGGAAAACATGCTGGCAGTTCCCATAAAAGACAAAACAGTTACCGTATGACCAAACATTTCACTTGTAAATATATACCCATAAAAATGAAGGCATATGTCCACACAGAAATCTTATCTGAATATTAAGAGCAGCTTTATTCACAATGCTGGAAACAACCCAACTATCCATCAGCTGATAACAGAAAAATAAAATCTAATGTATCCAAACAATGGAATATTATTCAATTACAAAAAGAAATGAAGTAATATACATTACAATATGGGTTAGTCTTCAAAATATTATGACAAGTGAAAGAAGCCTGTCCAAAAACAAACAAAACAAAGCACATATTGTATGATTCCATTTGTATGCAATATACAATGTTAAGAATAGGGAAATGTATAGAGACAGAGTAGATTAATGGCTGCCTAGGGCTGAGAGGGTTGGGGGAAATGTGGGTGACTGCTGAAAGTTTCTTCATAGGGCAGTGAAAGCAATCAGGAGTTGAATAGTGGTAATGAGTGCACAATTCTATCAATACACTAAAAACACTAAACTGTACACTTTAAACGAGTGAATTATATCTCAATAAATCTGCTATAAAGAAAGTTCTTGTGATGGACTACAACATTTACTGTTATACTTAGTAGTGAAGCAATTTTGCAGGTAAATCTTATTCATAGGAAATCCTTAATTATGTAGTAACAATGTCTTCAACAACATTACTTTTTTAATATGGGAAAATTCATTACTGTATGTTGGAAAAGACCCTATTTTAAAGGTCACTGAAATTATCATTTACCTTCTTTCATGTGCAATTTGTAAATGAGGCAATATTGTGTTCCAATAAATAATATTTACTGGCAGTTGAAAATGTGATTTAACCAGTCTATGAGTGATGATGCGTGTTGGTATTGGTAGGTCTCTCTTTATCACCTGTACAACATTGAAGTAGGACTACACATTAAGTGCTAAAGTTATACGATTCTCTAATGAAGATGGAATGGTGAATAATGAACCTATGTGATGGGTTCTATGAAAGTTCTACTAATTGGTGTCAAAATGGTTTTCAGTATCTAATTTTATCAAAATGCTGAATACCTTCTTCAAAGAAAATTTAATTCACAATCCTGTTGCATCCTTTCCATTTCACAGATTAAGCACTTGTCAATGTTTAGAAACATTTCCATACAGAACTTTGAAAAAATGCTCTTAGGAAACTTTTACTGTCTCAATAGAGCAAAAACATGATTAGAGGTAAGAAAGTAAATATACTTTAAAATACCACAGGGCATTTACTATTATTCAATTAGCCACTTACTCCATGTAGTATTAAATCCCAAGAAACTATTTTCATTTTTTATTTATTTGACTTGGCATATCACTTAAATAACCATCAATTAATTTACTAACTTTAATCATCACCAAAAACACCACAGTGGAATTCATATACAAAATCAGTATTTTGTCTAAAATACCAAGTATTAATATGAAACAATATGAAATTCAGTGCAACATTTGTCTGTTTAAATAAGAGCAGTGATTATGTACACTGATTATATTTCCCTAGATCATCCAAGTCAAAAACAACGTCTGTACTTTATGAAACTCTATCAAAACAGGAAAATAAGAACAAAATGTTCTGATGATATAATGCTCCACATTTACCTTGAAATGCATATTTTAAAATTTCATATAAAAATTATTTTATGTGTTACCTAATTTTTTAAACTATCTTGTTATTCTACAATAATTGTAAATATTAAATTTTAAAGTCAGTTATGTACATATCTATTTAAGATATAAACTTACCTCAGGAATAGGGAAAAGAAAACTGGCTTTAAGGTCTTATGCTAACTGTCATGATTCTGTTTTTTAAAGTTATATTTGCTATTTAACCTTGAAAATATAAATAATGCCCTGACACTAGGCCTTTTAAAGTTTTTAAAGTTATATTTGCTATTTAACCTTGAAAATAGAAATAATGCTCTAACACTAGGCCCAATAAATGATGCAGACACTTAGAATTTACATTGAAACAGGTTACCTCAAAATTGGTTAGGAAAGGTAGCAAATTATCTATTTCCTGTATGTCTTAGACCACTTACCAGGTCTGCGTTAGTCTGTCTATCTGTCCATCTACTTGCCAAATGAAGATGACTGACACAAAAACAAGTATAGGTAAATATCTATCTGTATAGCTTGGCTTACTATATTTCTAAATCACTTAACTACATTTATGTATTTTTTTGTAATTTAAAATGTATTATCTGAAAGAAAAAAATTATACTTACTGCCCTCTAGAGGTATGAACCAGTAGTGTAATAAGTGTAGATGTTGCTGGGCATATACAGTTTAAAGCTAACATGGCGTATTTAAACTCTTCTTCACAAACAACATGATCTGTTTGAAATAAAATAGGTAAATTAGAATAATTTACCTTGGGATGGTAGTATTATTAAATAATATGAAAAGTAAAACAATGAATAAGATTACAAAAATTTCAATATAAACCTACTTATTTTATATATGTTTTTACATGTGCAATTTACCACAGGAAAAATGTTTCATAAGAGAGAACTAGACTATGAGTTAAGTGATTGAGAGGGAAAGGGGTTCTGCATTTAACATAAAGTTCTGTATTTAACAGAATTGGCGGCCTTTGGCAAAATATTGAATTTTCCTATGCTTTACCTGTACAAGGTAGATAGGTTTGAGGTATAGTCTGGAAAGTAAATCAGAGACTGTCTAAAGTCTCCTGTAGTTCTGATAATTCTAAAGTATGAAACACAATAGTATTGACTCAAAGCATTATTGACTTACCACATTCAGAGTCACATAACAAAAAGACTTAGAAAGTAATCATTAAAAAATGTGGTAAAGATAATATTTACATAGCATACAAGTAATGGATTTTGAATATTCAACTATAACATAGATCAATAAAAATTAATGCAAAATAAATTTAAATTTAAGTTGTACTTTAACTTTAAGACTTACAGTCACAAACTCAAAAGATGATAGAGTCCAACCAGGAGAGATAATAAATGGCAATTGAAGTTCAGCAACATTAAAAAAACGAGTGCTAAGGATAATGGTACATGAGAGGGTGAGGTCGTATTAAATGGAGATGATTCTACTCAGCCTAAGCATACTGTTTTCATGCAGAAATGAGAGCTCAGATGCCAGATTTTCAGTTTCCCACAGAAGTCATATTTTAGAGAAGTGATGAAAGTATTATTTATTTGAAGGGAAAACCTTACTTTCCCACATAAACAGTTATAGTTGGTATTGGAAATAAAGGCAATATTTAAAGTTCTAAAACAACAATGTTCTTAAAAAATAGGAGTTTTAGTTAAATTAGGAAATAGAAGGTAGAATGTGTGAGAAAGATCTACAAAATGAACACATGCACAATACAATTTATGAAGAAACAAGAAAAGATTACTTGGGAAATGGTTCAGTAGATGTTCTGAAAACTAAACAATAACCTTATTTCTGTTTTTACATCATCAGCATATGCAATAGCCCATTCTTTTTTCTTTTTCTTTCATTCCCTTATTTATTTTTTTCATTCACATTTTATGGAAGAAATTTTATGCTACAGTTACATCTCAGGATTTACTCTTTAAAAAATAAAAAAGCTACTAACAATGTCTCTCACTCTTTTTGTTGTTGTTGTTTTTGCTTGTCAGTTAAGTTTTACAGTGTCTATTGGCCCATTAAGCAAAGTATATATTACTGGAAACCATTTTACACATAAATATAAACTATGTTTTGCAGTGTTTCAGTATACAAATCTTTTTTCAGATTTTAGACCCTATGTAATACATCATGGAGTAACCTATGCTTTAAAACACTATTATTTCTTCAGTTAAATGTGTGAATATTTATTTAAGTGGGAAAAATAAGGTTCAGTGCAGAGATTCCCAACAAGTAACTTCAGGTCAGGTCAGTTTTTACCATCGATAGAAATATTAAAATGTTTTCTTTTTTCAAAATTTTCTGGGTTTTGGAATCACAGTGAAGGGATCATGGACCTTTATTCAGACTCTGATAATCTCTCTCCTAGACTAATAATGCCACAGCCTCCTAATCGCTCCTCATGTCCCCGGACTCTTCGGCACTCCTCTCCTGAAACCGTCCTCTCCAGCACAGTTACACTGCCATATGTGGCTATTTAAATTTAAGTAAATTAAAACTAAATACAAATAAAGTTCAGTTCCTCCATTTTACTAGCTAGATTTCAATAACAATAAAGTGCTCAACAACACCTGTGGCTACTAGATACAGTATTAGTCAATGCAAATACAGAACATTTCCATTATCCCCAATAACAGGACAGTGCTGTTTAATCTGCCACATGGATTAATGACCATTTGTGAATCTTAAAGCTTATAAGATATGTTTTAAATTCCTTAAAATGTCATTCATAGACTGTTGGAACTAACTAACATAATATACCACTCTTTTTATTCCCTTTCTCAGTCATATTGCTGTTAAAATTGCCCATCTATACCAACCAGATAGAAGGTAGAACACACAGATGTACATGCCAGTTGGTGGGTAGATCCTAAGCAGAAGTTTATGAAAATTTTGTTCTTCCTATGATTCTATTTTCTTAATACACATGATAATATGGTTTCTTAATGATATGATGAATAGGGAAGAAGCTGTAGGTGAGAAGGAAAAATGCAGTCTAATTGTTTAAGTGAGTGAAAAAGGAAACAGAATAGAGAAACACAAAATAGTTGTTTAGCACTTCATGGACTCTAGAAACTAGTGACCGTGAATTCAGAGCGGAGGTAATCCACAGGTTATATTTCGTTTGTTTTGTTTCCTCTGGCCACGTTCAAATGCATGGATGTAAACACCAAAACAGAGAATCAGATTTCACTAGCATTGACTTTTGACAAACAAGTATATGAATGGAGAGAGGATCCATGAACTGAGGATGAAGTGAAATTATTAATTAAAATGCTGTACTATAGAATTTATATAGGTTACAAAGGGAAGGCAGGACCTGCAAGTGTAAATAACAGTGAAAATTTGGTAGATTCAATGTACTGTAGATTCCAGTGTAATAAAAAAGACAGTTAGGTATCTGTATCCAAGGATTGGAACTGGAAAGATAAAAGGTAATGGTTATAGAGGAGGGCACTAAGAATAGAGATCATAGAGGGGTCACATTTACTGGCAATGATATGATCTAGGGAGCATGCCTCTGGGAGTGAATGCTGAGATAAGACGGTGGGCAAGGATATTAAAAGAAATACATGTCTAGGTCATTGAAAGAATCATTTTCATGGCTATCACTATCATTAACAATATATTATCAAGCAGTGTTGGAAAAAGTGATAGCAAGTTAGGAGACTGAACACATTTTTAGCTCAATTTTTTTTTATCAACTACTTATATTTCTTTTGGGGGACAATTTAAGTCACAAACTACCAATTTTTATCAAATAAGTTTCTAATTTAAAAAAATTGTATAAAAATTAAATTCTAGAGAGATGCCCTCTCAAAAAAAAAATTAAATTCTATAGAAATGCATAATGGAGAACTATGCCTATAACAGAAACTACTACTTTCCCCTATTCTCCATTTCCCCTCCTACACAGAAACCTCATGCCCACAGAGGCATGCCTCCGCGAGGTATTTGGAAAGCGCAGGAATACTGATGTGTGTTGACAGCACCTTACTGATTTTAGCCTGGTATATGTAGAGAGATGATCTGAGGTAAAAACTGATCACTTTGCAAGCAGAGAGGGAAGGAAACAGAGAGCACTGTGAAGTAGCGAACTGTTTGCTTGAAGTCAGAAATTTAAATCAAAAGTCCAGAAGTCTGGACATTTGCAGAACCAATAAAGTGAACTACCCTGACCAGCAGGACATGGCATTCTCCTTCAGTCTTCACCACAGGCTTCCCTGGGGACCGTTAAGGCCGCACCTGTGGCAAGGACCAAAGCACAAGGACCAAAGAGCGGCCTTCTCTCTCCAACCTGTTGTTTCACATGAAGCCACAGACGCTGCCATTCCAATGGAGTGGAGAGATGCACAAGGCAACAAAAGCCGGTAGGTAAGGAAGCCTAAGAAAGTTCCTAGAGAACTTTGAGCACAATTGCTGACACAGAAAGAAATGAAAATAAGTCTGCTCCAGTAGAACTGTTATATAATTAAAACATGATCTTAGTTTTATAAAATGTTGACTTCTGCATGTATGTTCATGTGTGCCCATGTACATCTGAACAAGCACAAAAAATTGTAAGAAGAGGAATCAAACTAAATAATAACTACTTCAAGTAATGGGAGACAGTTTTCAAAGAATATGACTCAAAACAGGATTATATGAAGTTCTTGGTTTCTTTTTATTGGTATTTTTATTATTTTTAATTTGAATTGAGTCTACTTTCAAGTCCCTTTTACTTAATGGAAAATAAAACTGTTAATTTCATTTTAACAAGTCAGAATACATTTTACAACTCTGCTTTATAGTATTTTCTGAGCTCTTGCATGTTTTAAAGTACTAGAAGCTTCTTCTATTCAGTTGCTAGGTAACAGCTCTTTGTAAGAAATAAACAACAGTGGAAAGTGCACTAAACCAATCTAGTCCTGGGTTTTGATTTACAGAAAGCAAATATCCTTTGAAAAAGCTCCTAAACAGGAACACAAACAGGGAAAATTTTAAAAACTGAATGTTATTTGTTTTTATTTCATGGGTAAAAATTTTATTACATAAACCAGCTGAACAATTATGTTATAAAATCTCTCACATATCCTTTGTGACTGTTTATAAACATGAGTGGGATGATGTCTACGAAAACTGCTTCTTTTACTTAGAGAATAGATCATCTCCAACAACAGTTTTATTTTGATCTTGTTTCTTTAACCAATAAAATAACCAATTTGCTAATGTGTGTGTGTGTGCATGAGAACACACATGAACATAGCATGAGCATACATCAGAGACTTGCCCATTCTAGGAATGTGAACCACTAAATGCTAAGAACAGGTTTAAGTAAGCCTTTAAAAGTCATTTATTTCACAAGATCCAAATATAAGAATGCTTATTAAATATATAGATTTCAACTCAGCTTGAGATTAGCAATATTAGGTGAAACAGATTTATTTCACTTCATACTGATTATAGAAAGCATTTTTGTGTTTTTCTAATTGCTTGAATATTTATATTACTGTAATGTAATTTTTGTACCATATTAATTAAATGCTCAAAAGTGGTTCTACATTCTAGAGCAAAATAATTTTCATTTTATTAACCTCCCTTTCTTTTAAAAAATATCATAAAAACATAAAAACAAGAGCTTTAATATTTCAAAGAACTTCTGTCCTCCAAATTCTAATTTCTTTGGGTTCTAAGCAAAAGTATTCTTTTTTCACTAACTC